ATGTCCATCTATGTGTGAGTCCACACACGTTACCTCCACATGTACACACGTGTGCACACCTGCACCGAGAGGGCGTGCACACCAGGCTACCTCTGGTGTTGGAGATGAGGTGACAGCAGGTGCCTGTGATTCAGCCCATCTTCCGACTGACCCTGACCAGAGAGGGCACAAGTGCGGACACACAGCCGCCCCAGGTTTGCAGCACCCCGCTTCTGCCCGGGGGTCTGGGATGGGAGGAGTGGCACCGTCTGGCAGACTGACCTCTGCCGTGGCATGTTGGCGTCCTGAACTGCTCTGCGTAGCTGCCAAGTCCCAACAAAATGTCTGTTGATGACAAGAAAGCCCTGGTCTGATGCAGAGTTCGTATTGATCGTTGTAAAATACTGTCAGGGGATCTGAGTGGGCCTGGATACGTCGCCTGCACTGGGTACACCCTCTGTGACACAATTCTGCCAGGCACCGTCTCTCCCAGCACAGGCGAGGTCCTGAGGACTGCCTTCTGCAGGGCGGGGCCCAGGTGTGCCCGCATGGCTGGGAGTTGGCAGTCCCTGCCCGCAGCAGTGGGCTCAGTGTGCCTGAGCAGCCCCAGAGACTCACCTTCTGTGACGTGCGTCCTCCCCCTGCTCCCTTGCTATGCCCAGGCCAGGTGTGGACTGGCTGCCTCAGTTTCCTTGGACATGAGGATAGGATCTCTTTCCTATCTCTCTGAGGCCATGCCTATTTGTTTAACCGAGGGACTCTGTGGTGCCACCTGTTCCTTCATCTAATGGGTTAGTGACCCCAGTAACCATTTTCCCCACTGATCCCGACCCCGGGGTTGGGATGCTGACTCTCGTCAACATGGCATTTACACAGCGGGGCAGAACCTCTGGCTCTGACTCTGCCTGTTTCTGCACTGCAGTAGTCTCCTTTGCTGTCCGGCCTGCCACACGGCTCAGCGTGGGTAGAGGAACACACCAAAGAATGTCTCCCTTCCCTGGGGTTCTTTTTTCTGGCATGCCTCTGCCTCCAAGCAGAACTGGCCTCTACTTGCAAGCTTGACAGAGTCCTTAAAGCACTTTGGTGCGATAATCTGTGCGTCTCTCCCAGGGGACTGTGAACCATTCAGGGAAGAGGCTGTGCTTTGACCATAGGTTGCACAGGGCCTGGCACACAGTAGGTCCTCTGTGGGTAGGTGTTGACTGGCTGAATGTGTGAGGGAATAAATGAATGAATGGGGAAGCATCTGATCAGGTCATAAGTCTTGGTTTCTGGTTGAGGCCTTTGTCACACGCCTTCCCCATCCATCCATAAATTGACAGAGTGCAGCAGCCAGGGAGTATGAACTGCAGATGCTTGCTGAGCCAGGCAGGAAACAGAAACGTGTGAAACGGCTGGGTGAAAGACAATAGGGCGTGGTGGAGACTGTGGCACACCCACAGCATACCTAAATATTGAGCTGAACAAACAAAATGGTTGCCTTTAACATGGAAAGGGGCTTGTCAGAGGAGACATCTTATAATTGGAACCCCCCAACCCCGTCTTTCTGGTTCATACTTCCAAGTCCTGAGGGGCAGTGCAGGTTAACTGAGGTCAAACTGCAGATGAGTGCCACAGACCTTTTCCAGAGATGGAGCTGTTGATACAGTGAGTCTGCTCGTTGTTGCTGGAGCTGTCTATGTTAGCGGGCTCCTAGGAAATGGGCAAGATTCAGTCACCAGCGAGGAGACCAGACTTGAGCATGAGACACACTGATATCCTAGTTTTCTGATGCTTCCAAGGCAGGAGAAATGGCTGTGGAATTGGTAAGGCGCGTTGTCATGTGATCATTAACCAGCCGAGTGGCCTCCGCAGGGCTCCAGAAGGCGGTTTACCCCAGACGCTTTGTCCAGAGCTGAGCTAGGAGGTGTGATAGGCAGTTCTAGCTTCATTCTGCAGATGGGGAACATGAAGCTCTGAGAGGTCACATGACCTCCCAATGTCACACAGTGGGTGCATGACAGAGCCACCATTTGAACCCAAATCTGTCTTTGAAGCTCATGCTCCATCAATTACACCAGATGTCCCACCCCTTCAGGAGTATGGGCACCTTTAGTTGCCATGGAGACTGTACACTTTCTCTAATGATGCTACCTGTAAACTGCAAAAGTGTCTAGATTCTTCAAGGAGTCAATCAGGGCAACGTAAGTATCCCAGTTTTATTATTTTAAGGCTATTTTTAATAGCCTTATTCACAAGACTTTCCCTGTAGACTCAACCTACCCTTCTAGAGTGAAGTTCTCCCACCGCTGAGAAAGTTTAAAAGTGCGCGTTGCAGGTTCTGGAGGTGGCCAGTGAGAGTGGGAAGGAAAGTTTTTGACATCTTTGTGAGAGGTGGCACCTGCCTCCCAAGGGTCCTTGGGCCACCGGCTCTGTGTGGGCGTCTCTGTTTGCTTGGGAGCCGGTCTGGGGCTTTCCCTCACTCCACAGAGGAAGGACAGATGGGCAGAGGGGCCGGGTGGGCAGGGCAGGTGCAGGGTCCTCAGCCCCCTTTGGCGTGGGCTGCTCTGTGGGGCTGGTGCCCCCGGAAGGCCCCTTGGGGTGGCTGCTCATGCTGGCTGCACCGTTTCACTGCGAATAGCTCACGGCTGTGGCCCTGCAGTCCCGGCCCTCGGAGAAGGAGCTGCTCCTTTCCCAGGGGCCGGGCTGTGTCTTCCTTTCATTTGCGTACATTAAATACTTGCTCTTCCCCGCCCGCGCCCCTCAAAGCTGAGGCATCTGGGTCTCGTGGTGTCCTTTGCTCCCACTGTTCCTGGAAGGAGCAGTGATCGAGCACGTGGCCTTTGAATTGTTCCTCCCGGTGACTTTCAAGCACATGTATTTAGTTTTGTGTTTTTTCTTTTCCTTTTTTGGGGGGTGTGTAGGGAGGGAGGAGAAGGGAGAGGAGAGGGACACAGGAGCAGCCAGCTCTCCCGCTGCTGGGGGGCGAGGCATCCACCGTGTCCAGGGAGCTCCTGGTGAGGGCCTGCCAGGCCGGGAGCAGATACCGCGGCGCGTCCCGCGCAGGCCTCCGGCCAGCTGGTCCCCTGTGGTTCAGAAAGGCCGGCCTCCCTCGCGCCTCGACCTCCACCCCGCCGCAGCCCCGGTTCCTTCTGTCCTGGGACGCCCTTTCCACGGCTGCTCGTACGCACCTCTGGCTCCGCACTGTTCTCAAGACAAACCCCAGTACCTGACGATGTTCTAGGGCCTTCCATGGCCCCAACTGAACCCTCTGCTTCCCCTCAGTCCCTGCTGTGGCTGTCCAGTTGCTGAATTCTCCTCAGACGCTAAAGTCTTCCTGCCTGGCCCTCGCTGTGCCCCTGCTTCACCCCAACACAGACACACACCACACCACACACACGCTGTACACACACATACCCCCCACCACATACCCACACTACACAAAAACACACAACATACACACGCACCACACACATCATACATGTCACACACCACACAAATGACAAGAACGCACACCACACACATCACACACACACCACACATCACACACATTACACAGCACACAAAACCCCACACACAGCACACAAACTCCACGCCCTTGCACGTGCACGCACATCACAAACAATGCACATGCCACGTACATCACACACACATTACAGACCACACACAACCCCCCCACCCACACTCCCCACACGCCCTCCCATCACACACCACACAAACCACACACACGCACACGCCACACACCCCACCCCTGCCCTAGCTGGAACTCCTCCATTAACTCAGCTCGAGCATCTGCCCCTCTCCTCACCCCTGGTGCTCTGTTCTTACCTCCGTGGTCACCATTTTGTGGAGCCGCGATTGCCTCTTTGACACCAAGGACCACGTTTGTTCATCTCTGAGCCTCAGAACCCAGCACCGAGTCTGGCAGTTGCTACCCGGGAGTGGATGACGGTGCGGGTGCGGGTGGGTGGGTGAGCGGGGAGAGAAGCACGTGAAAGGGATGTGAGGAGTGCGGCCTGTGACAAGACAAAGACTGCGATGTGTCCTGGGTACTGCCACCCCACAGCCCTGGACCGGGCTCCTCTGCGCGTCTGCCCCGCGGGCCTGCTGTTCTCATGCAGGGCTGAGGATGCTGCGGGGAGGGGCTTCTCAGCTCGCGGTGAGCCTCGGATGAGAAGGGAGCTTTACTGAGAGATAAGCCTCTGGGACCTGAGCCATCTGTCCCCTGAGAGCCTCAGCTCTGCGGCTCTGTGTTCACTGCAGGCATAAACGCTCCCCCAGGATGGGGCAGCGAAGGCCGGGACCTCCGGGTGCCAGGCCCTTTGTGGGCACTTTGCATCTGTCTGCCCGCCCCCTGGACAGGCCCTGAATCTCCATTTTATAGAAAAGGGAACTGACGTGCCCAGGTCACACGGAAAATCCTGGGCAGGGCAGGGTGCTGAGTGCCGGTGTGTTGGACCCGACGCCTTGGTCCTGTCTCTGCCTCACGTGGCTGGATTGTGCTGTGATGAAGGGGCCTGCAGGGAAGGCGTCAGGGACACGATGCTTTTAGCAGAAAGTTGGGCTCAGGCCCTATCACTGACTGTCTCAAACAAGGAGGCTGCCCGCATTTTGTTGGATTATTTATTTATTGTTTGTGTGTTTGGATTGGATGTTCTCTCATGTCAGGAAGTCAGGATGGGAGTCCCTCGGGGCCATTGCAGGCTGGGCGGCTAAATGCCAGGAGGTCAAATGGATCTAAGGATGGCTGAGACTCTGCAGGCTTGGCTGGCCACCCTTGGGTGCTGGCCACCCTGCACTCCAGCAGGCTTGGGTGTCTCTGGATTTATAGCTGCCACCGGTCATGGTGGAATCCTCGACTACCAGAGACTGGGGACTGGGACCTGGAGTTCTAGAACCTTTCCAGGGCCCATGTGCCAGAGATGAAGCCCTCCAACATTTCAGCTCATTGCCCCGAAAGCTGAAAAGGGCAACTTGAGGCTGCTGGGTGGCTCAAGCGCTGGGCATGACGGTCTCCGCTGTCCAGAGACTTGCTTCGGGAGCTAAACCTGTGGGAGTGCCCCAGGCACCACCCAAGAGCTGGTCCCTGGGTTGAGCTTGCACAGTCTGCAGAGCCTTGCACGGTGTCCTGGGAAGAGCAATGGGTAGATAAGAGGGACAAGGACAGGAAGGCAGAGGAGCGGGCCAGAGCCGAGGGTGGAGAGAGGGAGAAAAACACAATTAAGATTCATTTTCAAATATAAAGATTTTTTAAAAATCAAAGCAAGTATTAAATCTCACCCTCCTTCCCGGAGGCCCAGAAGGGGCCTTTCATGCAAACACTACCATCCCAGACTATTTCAGTCTCAGGAGGGGGAAGTCTAATTTCCTGGCAGAAGACGGAGAGAAGGTGGCTTGTTCTAAGCAGAACCCACCTGAGTTGACCGGGGTCTGAGAGGCCTGTTTCTGATGGCCTTGTTAGGAGGGTCTGCCGTGAGGACAGTGTCACTTGGATGTGCAGGACCTCAGACACTCCCCCCACCCCGCCATCTCCTCCCAGACAGCATGTGCCGGGCGATGTGTGCCCCAAAGCCCCATTTGCATCTTTTGATAAACCGGTCCCATTTATGGGAGGAATAATCCACAGGAAAGAAAAAACTGCATGCATTAAGCTATTCTTCACAGTTTTGTTTTTAACTGCAGAAAAAAAGTTCTGGAAACCATCTGAATATCCTATGATAGAGAAATCCTTAATTTGTAATGATACCTCATGTGGATAGATATGCTTCATGGGGACAAAACCCCATGGTTATGAAGACTATGTAGCAACACAAAGAAAAATGCTTATGACCTAATTAAAAATTAAAAAACAGGGTACAATAAAAATAAAACCAGGTAAACACGTTTGTATAAGAAGGACAAATACTGCATGATCCCACTTATATGAGGTGGGATCTAAAATACTCAAACTCATAGAAACAGAGAATAGAATGGTGGTTGCCTGGGATGTCGGGAGAAGGGAGAAACGGAGAGCTGTTCAACTGGTAGAAAGCTTCAGTTGTGCAAGACGAATTAGTCCTAGAGATCTTGTGAACAGAGCACCTTTAGTTTACAAAGCTATATTTTACACTGAAACAGTTAAGAGAGTAGATTTCAAGTTAAGTGTTTTTACCCACCACACACACACAAAGTAGTGCAGGGAAACTTTTGGAGGTGATGGACATGTTTACTATTTTGATTGTGGTGTTTGTTTCATGGCTGTGTGTATATGTTCAAATCCATCACATTGTAAACACTAAATATGTGTAGTTTTTTATGCATCAGTTACACCTCAATAAAGCTGTTAAAATTTTTTTAAAAAACATGTTTATATAAAAAAGGGAGACATATACAAATGAGAAGGATTATTAAGTCACGGGAATGAGATTATTTTTTTTTCCTCCTCCTTTTTCCAAATTCTTATTATATGCAATGTGGTGTGGTAGTTAAGAACAGAGAATCTGGAACAGATTATTTAGAACCCAGCTCTACCACTTACTAGCTGTGTGACTTTCGACAAGTTACTTAACCTCTCCGTGCTTTAGTCCCTCACCTGTGAAAATGAGGATAGTAATAGTATCTAACTCTTAGGAATATTCTGAGCATTAAATAAGTTAGTAGATATTAAGTGCTACAACTATTAACTGATATGTAAGCACCAGCTTACGTGCCAAAAAAAATAAGTTTAATTGTCGTAAGTCATCCAAAGGCCTGAGGAAGGCCCCAGGGTCACAGCCTTCCTGGCTAGAGGGGTCCACGTGGCCGTCAGTCTGACCACAGCTTAAGCCGAGCAGCCTGGGCTTGTGGCCAGTGCCTGATGGCCCTCCAGAGCGACAGAGTCTGCAGAGTGAACATGCCTTTAAAACAACTGCTGCTGTGCCAATGCTGCTATACAGATTGCTACAGGCTTTCTAAATACTTTAGAGAAAGCCTTTTTTTTTTTTTTTTTAGTGAATTGGTAAATGTAATAAATTCAGCATATCAGCCATTTAGCACATTAATTTTTGAAGATGGCTTTGTCACATTGACCCAGAGCCCTGGCGCTTCCACATCTTGTTGTCCCCATGGGCCCAGCACAGCACTGAGATACAGAGCAGTACCCAAGGAAGACACTTTAGAACAAGGACCAGTCGCTGTTTGGCAGGTGCGTGTCACAGCTGGGGTCGTGAGCTCACGGACGTCCTCAAGGCAGCCAGGGTGCGTTTCTCTTTCTGCAGGCAGATGCAGGGCACTGTCACATGTCAGCGAACTGGAGTACACAAGGCCGATCCCGGAACCTGGCACAGCAGCAGTCCTGCTGTTGCTTACACAATACTCTAGGAACACCGACTCATCTTCTCCCTCCTCTCTGAATCCCCGGGGTCAGCCCCATGAGATGGCGGGCGGAGCCATCAATCCCAGGCGAGAATGTGCAGGCTTTGGCTTTCTGTGCTGGAATTGCTGGTCTGTCGCACCAGCAGCCCTGGCAGGGCTCGGCCCCCCTCCATGGCAACAGCAGGGCATGTTCACAGGGCACATGTGGCAGGCTGGGACATGACCCCGCTGACTCATCGCTGTAGCCCGCGAAGGCCAATTCTATCATCATACCCTTTCCATCCCCTTTTCACAGAGGGAGCCTGAGGCTGAGCAACGCTGGGCGACCTGCTGAAGGGCGCACAGCGAGCGGGCGGCGGAGCTGGGATTCCAGCCCAGGTGGCACTTCCTCCTGGAAGTCTGCCGTTCCGCCCACTGGGGCACACCCACGTCTTCATACACATTATGCAGGAAACTTTCTTTCTGGGGGGACGCATTTGGTTGTAGTGGAAAAAGGAGAACAGATCCTGGTTTCTGGCTCTGCCTCAGTTTCTTCCTGAGCCTCAGTTTCTCAATCTATGCAGCAGGGACAAGACTTCTCTAGGTGGTTCCAAGCATTTAAATGAAATCACATGGTAAGGACCCAATAAATACAGTTATTTCGCTCTTCTTGTTCTAAGTTGTTTATAGCTTTCTGCAATGGAATTTTTAAAATATACACATGAAAAGAAATCTAGTCTTGACACAGGAGCCACAGACCCGGATGGTTCTCCTAAGCACCCTTGCACTGCGCACAAGGAGTTAACCCGGCTGTGTTTGCTAGGGCTGTTTGTGCGTGTTTGTGTGTGTGTGCGCGTGTGCTGTGTGCGTGTGTCTCTGTGTGCGTAATGTGTATATGTGTGTGTCTCTGGATGTTTGTGTATGGGTTTGTGCGTGTATAGCATGCGTCTGTGTGTAGTCGTGTGGTGTGTGTGTGTCTCTGTGTGTAGCACGTGTGTGTATGTGGGTGCTCACACCCCCTCTACTTCTCTTTACCACCTCTGAGCAATCCATGCCACAGACGCCAAGGGGAGAGGGGAGGGGATGAGCCCTCCCTGGCGCGGCCCCCATCTCTCTCTTTGGAAGGTTTTCACCTTCTTTCACAGAACCGCCCTCCTCGCCAGGCCTGGGGGAGCAGAGCTGCAGCCAGCCAGCCTCACCCCCGCCCCCCCATCGCCTAAGCGGGTGCCTCACACTCCGCTTCAGTGAGGGGTGTGTGAGAACTGGCTATTTTTACCCGGCCCGCTGGGTGCCATGCCAGTTGGGAAGGAGGGGCTGTCAGCTTCTCCGGGAGAAAAGGTCTGCAGCTAGACCCATCCTGTCTCGCTCCCTCCTTCTGCCTACCCCCTCATTTACATGCGAGCTGCCCCTTCTGTGGACAGGACTCTTGGTGGCTGGGAAGGGTTTGGAGGCTCTGGTGCCATGGTCCCAGAGAGTAGGGCAGGGTCGGGGGGGCAGGCCTCTCTCGGTCTCCTGGGGAGGGCACTGCGGCTGCGGAGAGTCCAGACAGCAGCCCTAGGTTGGTGTCAGGCTGTCTGGCTCAGGCTCCGCAGCCTCCAGTGGGGCCCCGTCTGTTCCATGCTCTGGGACCCTCCTACCAAAGGCAGCAGAGGTCCAGCAGCCCTAGTCTCCCACCTGGGCTAGGCGACTGCAGTGCCTCCGTCTGTCCCAGGCCTGGAGCCCCCACGTTGGGAGCTGGGTGCCTGCAGCCCTCCCTGGGCCAGGCCTTGAGGAAGAGGACAGCCTTGCTCTTCTGGGCCTCACTCTGGGGCATGGAGCCTGGAGGCTGCCTGGCTGCACCTCTGGGGGCTGCATCACCCCCTGCCAAGCTGGGGCTCTCTGGACCCGTGTGCCCCCCACCGGCTGGTGACCTGAGCTGGCTGTGCTCCAGGTCCATGGGACTCGCAGGCAGCTTTGGTTTGTGGCTCCTGTGAGCACCTTCTGACACAGCTCCTCTCTGTCTTCCATGCCTCCCTTTTGCCCACCTGGGGCTTCGCCCCTGTGGCCTGCTCCGCCCGCACCCCCATCTCCGTGATCCCGGGTGGGCTCCTGGCCTTTCCTCAGGTCTCAGAGATGCCCCCTCCTCTGACACCTCCACCCAAGGTAGGGGTGCTTTCCCACACCATCGTCTAATTGCATCTTGTTCCTTTCCTTGGTAGATATATTCAGTTCGAAATGACTAATTTGTTGCCCTTTTGGGGGGATCGATTTCCCCCATGGGATTGTAAGCTCCATGGGGCTGAGAGCACACCTGATGTGGCCCCCTCTGGACTCGTGCCCGATCTCAGGTGCGGGTGGGGGCTGATCGGCACATGTGGCCTGCCCGTGCCACTGCAGAACCTCCCCGACTCCCGAATCTGGGCAGGGTGGGTGCTTACCTTTCAGGGCTCTCAGGTTGTGGCCAGGAACGCGCTGGCAGCAGGGCCTGACTCTCCAGGTCTTGGCAGGACGCCTTCTCCCTGAGCGTAGCCGCAAAGGAGCAGAGACCCTCCCTTAGCGAGCTTGTTTGTGCAGGAACGACCTGAGTGAGCTTCCACTCCTAAGGCCCAGGGTTCAGAAATATTTATTCAAGGAAACGCAGATCAAACCAGGCTACAGTCGGGCTCAGGCCCAAGGGAAGGGGTAGCCTTGTTGTAATTTGCTTTTCAGAAATAACAATGTTGGTAGATTTTTCTGCTCCCGGAACACATTGTCCTCATGTTCCCGTCTCAGAAACAGTTCAGCAGGGTGACTCGGAAATGTCCGTGCCCTTCGACACAGCCATTCTCCCCTTGGTGACCTAGTCTGAGAAAATAAGCCTGAATATGAAAAATATTTTATGTACACATGTGTCTTTTACCATATACTTAAAATAGTGTGAAGTGTGAACCATGTAAATGTCTCAGCATGTATATTTGTGACAGCACATTCACTGGATGGCAAGTTATACCTAAAAATATTAGGTATATTCAGGAATGTGCCAGAGATAGTCCTGCATGGGTAGGACACTTTATGGGCAAACGTCTCCATCCTCATTGAACTGTCATTAGGGAAACACTGGCCACCTCTAACATGTCCAGATAGATGGGTCTGATAAACCGCATGCCATGAACTGTGTTTATGAGGAATTCTGTGCACTGTTTTTTCTTATCATATACGTGGCACATTTTCATTGCAGAAACTTTAGAAAACAAATACCTCCTATAATCCCCCTGCTCAGAGATGGCAGCTGCTGACATTCTGGTATAAATGTTTCCAGAATAACTTCGATCATAAATATTTTGGGTGATTACAATAACACAATGATAAATTAAAAAGAGACAACGTGTGGAACATATAGTCAACACACAGAGAGACATCAATTAAATTTTAAAATGCTGCACGCAAGATTGAAAGGAAATAAACACAGCGTTGAACATGGCTATTCTTGAATCATGAAATTGTGGGTGTTTCCCCTCTTTATATATTTTTATATTCCTGGCTCCAAAAAATGTTAAAATAACCGTAACCACTACAACAAAAAATAAAAGCAGGCAGTTTCTAGAGGGTTAGGGAAAAGGAAAAGCTCAAAATACTCAGCTATCTGAATCAAGAGTCAGAAGAGCTACATCTTCATATCCACAGAGGGGAAAAGACCATGTGCCCCACCCCTGAACACGCATAAACATACCCCACCCCCACTACAGACACCCTCATCCCGCCTGCCGTAGTTGTTTTCTGGGCGCGAGGTTTGGGGATGTTCAGACTCGGATGGTCACCCAGCACTAACGTGCTCTGTTCCAAGCATGGTACAAGCACGACAGAGCGGCTCCGGAATCTCTAGACAGGTAGGACGTAGGCATAGCAACCCGGATGCAAGCGCCCAGCCTGGAGAACTCCCAGCATGGTCAGAGCGGGAAACTTCTGCCCGTTGTGTGTGTGTTACTGTGGTAAGCACCCTGCTTTCCTTAGCGTGTGAGTGTGTTTTGTGGAGCAGGGGCTGTGGATGGAGACTGTGGGGCCTAACGCCCCAGAGCCACCTGCTGGAGCTGCCGCTGTGGTTAGAGGTGCTACGGAAGTTCAGGAACGAGACCCCCGTCTCTGCAGGGCCCAGCACTGCCTGCCAGGGCCTGCCCCCTGCACAGTTCAGGGATGGAAACTTCCCAGATGCTGGAATCCCAGATGCTGGAATCCCTGCTCAGGCCCGACACCCCAGGGCAGCCCTACCTTCTGCGGAGAAGACGGAGAAGCAGAGAAGCAGGATGCAGAGCAGGCTGGAAAGCACTAGAAGCCTCATGGCAAGGTGGCAGAACCTGGAACCTCGTGTCCTGAGGAGGGAGCTGTGTGCAGAAGTCCTCCCTTGAGGCCACCACAGACATTTATAGAGTGATGAGAGGTTTTCCCAATGGGCAGGGCACCAACAGACTTGGAATTCTCCCAAAGGGTAGAGTCAGCCTCTCCCAAGAAGAAAACCAGCTTTTCAAGAAGCATTTCGTGACCTGTAACACAGAGAGCTGTAAATGCCCAGCTGGGAGAGCTCCCAGCACTGGCCTCAGTGGTCAGAGCAGGAACCTTCTGCCGGGGAACAGCCACTGCCCAGGGTTGAATGTTAACTTTTAGTGTCAGTAAAAATCCATCAAATGCAAATCTTCCTGCTCGTTCCTCAGATGTGGCTGGGAGAAGGACCATGTCTCCAGCAACCGGTGAAATGTAGACAGCACAGACCCTGGAGTCAGACGACCTGGGTTTGATCAGCTGTGTGAACTTGAACTTGTCCTTGAATGTCTCTGAGTCTGCTACCCATCTGTGAAATGGGCACAGGGCTACCTCTCTCACAAGCCTGCATGGGCCTGTGTATGAGAAGCCATCTGCACCAAGGTGGAGGCTCATGTAGCTGTTAAAGGGGTGGGGTCCCAGCTGGACCTTGATGTTTTTGACAGTGATGAAACGAAAGGGCTCTTCAGGGGCAGGTTCAGCCTGAGTAAAGGCCTGGAGGAAGGGAGCCTCCGGCCAGGGCAGGCATGGGGAGAGGCTGCCCACAGGGGCAGGAGGCCCAGTCGTCACCCATTCATTGAACACATGCCCTGGGCTGGGTCATGTGCTTGGCCCCAGGGACACAGAAGACCAAGAAGGAGCTTCTGTTGGTGGAGGCAGCTGTGTAGACAAGTGACCACCACATGACACCGTAAGTGCTGTCTGTGCTAAAGGCCAGGGAGGTGGGTTGCTCAGTCGGGGGGTAGGACAGGGAGAGGAGGCTTTGCAGAGATGGCTGAGATTGGGCAGGGTGAGGGGAGGGGCTGGCATGGTAAGCCAGGTCGTGTGGGCTTCTTGGACCAGCAGGAGTCAGACCGGCTAAGGCATGAAAAAGGGAGGTATGGGTGTCCTTTAGCCAGGTAGAGACTGATGACAAGAGTGCTTTGGGCTCCTCTTCCATCAGGGCGGGTCTCTGGGTGTCCCTTCAATAATGGCACACGGGTGCCTGAGCACCTGCCAGGCCCTGGGCAAAGTGGTGTCCGGGAGTCCCATGCCCCCAGGCCTGTGGGAGATGGTGGGCCGGTGGGTGGAAGGGACATTCCTCAGGAGAGATTAGTGTGCTTCCCACACACCCTGCTGAGCCCCTGCCTGGGCTACTCTCAAACCTCCACTCCCAAACCAGTTCCTGCTCATCCTTCCAGCCCCAGCTAGAGAATCTCCTAGAGGTGGCGTTGACGTGTGCTGTGACTGTTAGCTCTCAGCATGGTGTTTCCCACCGGACGTCGAGCTCCTGGAGACGCAGGGCCTGAGCCCAGGGGTGAACGATGCGCAGGATCCCCGAGGGTCGCAGCAGGCAGTGTGGGCCTGTTGTACCTTTACACCTGGCAAGGGCTCTCTGGTCAGCTGTGAGCGGTGCAGGGCTCTGCAACAAGGGGACATGCTGAGGGTCCACCGTGACACCCACATGCCACCTGGCCTGGGGAAGCTGTCATCGGGAGATGGCTGGGAGATCACACTCGGGCAAGAGGAGGAAACCCGGCCCGATGGCCAGAGGATGAAAGAGCTGGGAGCATGCAAACACCCTTCAAGCAAGGAGGGAGAAAGGAAAATGCGTGGGGGGTGGTTTCCATGTCGTTAAGCGTGGTGTGGGGGTTGTCCCTGGCTGAAGAAGAAATGTGGTTTTTTTGTGGATGCAGAGAAGAAGATAGCCCAGCCTAAGAAGCTCCCTCTGGAAACCAGCAAGTGAAGACACTCACATGTATCACATGTGTCACACATGTGCACAAGTGCACAGAATTTGCGTTTGCCCTTGTGATGTGATGCTCACCTGTCCTTTGCCTTCATAGGTATGACCTTCTGACCAAGGAACTGACGCTGATTGCCAGCCTGGAAGGGCGCGTGGGAGGTGCCGGTACCTGGGTCAGCTCTCCAGGGTCTCCCCGGTTCCCGGCAGCCAGTGCAGACATCGCCTGCTGCCGGAGCCTGGCCAGTGATTCGTGTCGCTGACCCTCCTCTTTTGCTACAGAAGAGAAGCAATTTATATCACATGCTCAGACAGCTCAGTGAGCAAATCAATGGCCAGGGACATTTTGACAGTCAGCCTCTATGCTTTTCAACATCTGCAAAAACTTTAAAACTAATCCACACTACGAAACTGGCCGGGGCCGCTGGGCTTAATACATCATTCCACGTCAGTCGCCTGCTCGGCCCTGGCCTGAGTCCCTTCCCAGGCTTTGCTCTGAGTCCTAATGGCTGTGTGGAATGGTGAGGGCAGGAAGATTCCAGGAATCTACCTACCGGGGACAGCTCCAGAGCTGGAGCCCAGGAGAGGTTTGGGGACAGCCACCGTGGGAAGGAGTGCCAGGAAGAGGGTAGCGCTCCTCTGGAGGCTGCGTTTGGTAGCTGGCAAGCTGCTCTTACTGAGGTCGCCCACTACAGGGCAGAGGGGGCAGGGACAAGGTCAGCTCCTAAAGCTGAACTCTAATCACTCAGCAGTGGTGCAAAAATTAGGAGTGGACTCTCAGGCTAGTGAAGCAAGAGCTTCATCTGGATCCACTGGCCAACTAAACCAGGACTTGGGTGATCTTCCCAAGATCCCTCAGCAACTCAGACACAGAGTGTCGGAACTAGACTGTAGATTCTCAACACAGTTTTTTTTTTTTCTTTTTTGAGACACAGTCTCACTCTGTTGCCCGGGCTGGAGTGCCGTGGGGTCCGCCTAGCTCACAGCAACCTCAAACTCCTGGGCT